AGCTCCCTAGCAGAGTGACGGGGGGGCTGTGGCAGGGAGCAGCCCTCACTCCCCCAGCACCCGTCCATTTTTGTGGTTTCAAATGGGTCCTGACAGCAGTTCACTGGCCAGAAGTGTCACTCCTTGACGACATCATTCCCAAGTCTCCAATGGATTGCGATGGCATGAGTCAAAATGGCCAACAGCCTGTCTCCAGAGTTGAGATCGGTGGGTCTCCTGAGCCACATGCATTGTGAGGTGGCCCAGCTACTAGAGGGGAATGAAGGCACCACACAGCCCTGGTTCATTCCCCTCCTAGGAGCAGCTTGGGAACAAGCTCAAAAGCAATACAAAACAAAACCTTGCTGATTTCAAGGTACAGGTGTGACACCATGAAATACAGTGTTGGGATGGGTGGGCGCCGGCTGCCCCTGTTGAGCCAGGTCTAGTGCTACTGTGCCCTGCCAGGTTTGGGCCCTGGAGTCAGAGATGCCAGGACCCGGGGGTCAGTGTTGAGAAGGCAACCAAGGCCCCCAGATACGGAGCAGAGCCCAGTTTGGGGAAGTCGGGGGCTACCTAGGTGGCACTGGCTGACACAAGTGAGTTGATACAAATGCTGGCATAGAAGATGCAGCCAGCAGATGCCAGCTGTTGCCACGACTGCCATCTTTCATGCTCAAAAGTTCACTCAGTCATTTTCCAGCAACTAGGCCCACGTCTCAAGGTTCTGATACTTGGGAAGCAGCACAGAGCATGTTGGGGACTCCTGTGGGCCAAGTTCCCCAGGCACCTGGCTCTCTGGTGTCCCCCCCCCAGAGCCTGTGTGAAGAGAACCCTAAGGAATGGGACGCTCTCCCCGCAAACCATGCCGGGCCCATCTGAAGGGCCCATGAGCAATAGAGAGGTGTGAATGAGAATGCCAGGGAGGGGCAGGACAGGAGCCAGGGGCACCCCTTCCATTCACAAGTCTGGAGACACAGCGGGGAACACCTGAGGACCACCTGAGAATCTGACACCAGAAGATGGTCCTGGGAGACAAGGTCGAGGGTTCTACTCACAAACCAGGTCAACTTCCGGGACAAAAAGTGGAATTTTTCTTTCTTTCCCTGAGATCAACAGGGTGACGTTATATTGGGGAAAAAGGTACTCTGGGTGACTGGCTAGACGCCTGTGTCTGTGGCCCCGTCTGCCCCGCCCCCTGAATACACCTCTGCTGGCTGAGGGTGACACAACCCTGTTCCCTGTCACTCTGTTCCCGCTTATCTCTCCCGCCTTTTCGGCGCCACCACCTTCTTGGAAATGAGTTAGGGCAAAGGGGTGGGGGCTCGGACCACCGCCTCCAGCAGGCCCCATAAAAGCCACTGTAACTGCACCCCAGTCACCACGGCAAGTCCTAGACCCAAGAGCAGGTCAGACAGACAGACAGCACAATGGCACTGAACACCCAGATCCGAGCTGCCTGCCTCCTGTTCCTCCTCCTCTCCAGCCTGGCCACTACCTCCAGCCTCCAGCAACAGGTAAGAGCCCCTGGGGCCAGGACGGGGATCGGAGGGTCAGCCCCTGGGAAGGGGCTGCTGAAGGCAGCCGGAGGACCCCTAGCACTGAGCAAAGCTCAGGACAACTCAGGGACACTGGCAGCTGCTGAAAGAACAGGGATGGAGTGGCAAGTTCGGGGACCCTGATGTAATGACACAAGTATCACTGAGGGCCTCCTCTGTCAAATCTTATTGTATACAATGGGGATAAAGCCATGCGTAAGGCAGAGACAACATCTTTGCTCTTATGGAGTTTATGTCTTGGTCAGGTCATTAGTTAATGAGCAATTAAACAAATAAATAATTCTGTTTAATAAATACTATTCACAAATGATGTAAAGGACAGTGGTAGTGTGACCACAGGGCAGGGGGACTAGAGGTGGAGGCAGGGGCCCATAGTCAAGCAAGAGTGTTCTGTGAGAAAATTCCAGTTGGCCTGTGCTTTGGACGGTAGCAGGTGAGCAGGAGCGTGGAGCTCCTGAGGATGGGAGGAGATGGTGCCAGGAGACAAGGTCGGGTGGGCAGGACACAGATCGGGCCAGCCTCGTGGGCAGCTGCTTGGACACTGACTTTTCCTCTGAGTGCTTCGGAAGGGCTGTAGGCTTTTTTAATGAGGAAAGCCATGTTCTGATGGTAAGAGTCTGAGTGAAAGTCACTGGATCGTAAGGGGCCCGGTGCAGGAAGACCTGGCTGATGCTGGCATCCAGCCAAGGGAGGGTGACAACCCCGAAGAAGAGGAATGACCGCAGAGAGTGAAGGTGACATATCTGGGATGCTTTTAGGAAAACAGGGAGGAAAGCAGAAAGGCAAGATTCCCTCCTCCGAGCTAGCTGAATGATGAGGTCACCAAGTACCTGGGGAGGAACAGGTTGGTGGGAGCAAGTTCAAGATCTCTGTTGGACTCTGCCATCCTCAATGCCCCCTTCTCTTTCACAGACAGGGCAACTCACGAGGCAGCCCACAGAGCGCCACCCCCAGTACACAGCTGTGACTGAAGCCCACTTGACGGTAAGAGTGGTTTAACTCCCTACCCTGTCCCCTTGCCTGCCCAGGCCATGCTGCGTCCGGCCGCTCACTCTCCCTTCCTTCCCACAGCCGGTGAGCCAGAGGCTAAGGAGGCGAGACACCCACTTTCCCATCTGCATTTTCTGCTGCAATTGCTGTACAAATTCTGGGTGTGGAATTTGCTGCAGGACCTAGAGTCTTCCTGTAGAGTCTTCCTGTCCTGAGCCCCTGGGCCTCGCTCCCTCCCTTATTTATTCCTGTTGCCCTCCAACCATCGTCTTGGAATAAAATGCCTGGTTCTTTTATTTTTCAAACTGGAGTGTCTGCTGTCCTTTCTCGCAGCCCGTGCATTGCAAGGGCCAATATTAGATTGGTGTGTTACGGGAGCTTGCCAGAAAGTTGGTGAAGTAAATTTGTTTTCTGTTCTCTCCCTTCTTTCCCCACTTCAAAAGACCTGGAATTTATGTTGCAACAGCAAGAAATGAAAAGTTAAACAAAGTTGCCTCTCCTCAGAATCTTGGTGTGTATCAATTGAAAACTCTGGAGCCCTCTACACTAAGCTCCATCTCCAGCCCTATGTATTTTTATTTTATTATTTTATTTTTATTTTGAGACAGGGTCTCTGTAGGTTGCCTAGGCTGTCTTTGAATTTGGGAACTTCCTGTCTCAGCCTCCTTAGTATCTGGGGTTATCGATGAGCACCACCATACCCAGGTCTTTGGAGTCTTCCTAAAACAGGGGTCATAACTCTATTGCCTAATAAAACTTCTCATAGTAAGATTCAGGGACTCCTTCCAGGGCTCCATGAGGTGGAAACTACTAAGACGTTATTTGCCATTTTTCACTCTCCAAAGTGTACAGTGTCGTGTTTGCAAGGCTCTGTGACACGATGACATCATTGCTGATAGCTGATATATGTGCTTGTATATCTCGAGCTCCAAAATCTATCAATTACAATTTCCATTACATTAAGCAACTACAGCTTTAACTTAAAAAAACTTAAAAAAAAACTTAAAACAAAATCTCTCTGAGATTCTTAAAACTTTTTTTAGAAGAGTTCAAAGAATCACTGACCATCGGGGATCAGAAAGGTACAGTAAGTGAGTGAGGAATGTTGGATTTGCTTTACGGGAGCATCTCAGGTTGTGTTCTCTCAATATGACACACTTTTCACGAGAAGCACATAGGAATACTGTTCACCTTTATAGTAATGAATTTCCCTGAGTCGGTCTCATTCTTATTGACCTAATTTTGGTAGAAAGAGATTATCTCCCTCCCTCATAAGATTACAACAGGCGATAAAGTGCCTTGGCCCTTTGATTGACAGGAAGGAAGGCAGCCTGGGGCCCCTTAAGGGGACCTTCAAAAGATGGCAACCAGACCCAAAAGCAGGCCAAAGCGTGAGAACTTCTGATTTCATTCAGAGGAGATGGGTATTCTTATTTTTTTTTTAATGAAATGTTCTGATTTTTTAAATATTGACAGTTGTTGCAAGGGGGCAAAATTGTGACGTATGCAGTTGAGGGGAGAAATAAAGAATGTCCACACATTTCTGCCCTTTTCAATGCTTTATTCACTCAAATCACTCAATACAATTTCACTCTATAGGTTCTTAATCAAGAAAATGACAATCCTTAATGCTGGGCACTGCAATAGACGAAATCAGTTCACATCAAACAATTCTAGATTAATTAATACACAGCACACAATTCTCGATTATTCTAAGCACAGCAGACACACTGAATCATGACAGGCTAGTGACACACCTTCCCTCTGCATGCTCAGTTCAAAAGTCTCAAGCCTCAGGCTTTCCGTCCAGCAGTTGCACACTCACTCAGACCGTGGTGACCAGGTCAGGACCAAGGCAGGCTTCTCCTGGGTGGAGTGGACGGCCGGTTGAGGAGAGGGAGAAGGTGCGGCTCTCACCAGGGTCCAGACGAGGCCGTAGAGTTTGAGGGTGGTGAGGATCACACAGAGGATCAGGCAAACGATGACAAGTGATGGGATGTCAGGTCCTCATCAAGTGCATCCTTGTTCCTGCTGGCTGAATCCCTGTTCATCAGCTCTATTATTTATACTAAATTTGGGGGCTTTTGACCCCTCTTTCAATCCTTATCAGCTACCACCAGATTTCTCCATGACATCATTTACCCTGGGGTCAGAAACATCTGGTCTGGTGGTCTCCACCCTGATCTTCTGGCCTTTCCCTCTTATCAGGGGAGGACAGCCTGCCAGGGGCTTCACTGTTTATCAGGGTGGGGGAAGTGACCTGTCTGAGGCCACACTGGAGGGCTCTGCTCTGTGGGTGTGCCTGGGGAGACTGCAGGTTTCAAACTGGAGATTTTAAAATGGAGTTGCTTAGGCTCAGGCCTAGGGCCATCCTCACAACAACTGATTAAAAGAACCTTTTTTTAAAATCAACACTCTGTAAGCCAAACTAAACCCAACCGGGAGGAGGGCAGCCCTGTATACTACCAACTTTTTTGCATTCTGCCTTAGAAGCCATCAGAGGCTGGACAGGGGGAAGATGAAGGGATGGAGGACCCCAGAAGGCCAAGGTCATCACACCTATTTCTTGTAACCTTGTCATTTCTGCTTCACTAACTTCTCAGGTAAGCTTAACCCAACAGACACTAAAACCACAAGCCCTGATCCAGTTGAAAGCAGAATAGAGCATGTGCAGTACCGTGGACAGTGGACATTCCGCCTGCGTGCTCAGTTCAAAACTCTCAAGCAGCACACCTGCTGAACAGTGATATTAGGTGTCCCACCCACCCTAATTAGAATGCCCAAATCCCCAAGCCCCGCCCCCTCAGAAAATGGGAGCATCCAATAAGCTCCTCCCCATGGCCTGACCCTCATCCCGCCCCTCAAGACTCCCCTTCCCCTCCTGCTAATGTCAAGGCTATAACCTATGAGTACCCCAGGAGAGTGGAAATGGCAAATAACACCCCCTTTCCTGGACAGTCCCATATCCCATATCCGCCAACAACTTGTCCTTGGAGAACTTGGGTCCTTCTGGTGGCCATACTGCCCAGGTCCCTGAGTTGCTCAACTCAGCTTCCTGAAGGAAGCCCCAAGGGCAGCGGGAGGACCCTGCAGTCGATTCAGTCTCCTCAGAGCCAAGCCCGATGCCAGGTCTTCGCCCTTCTGCAAATGGCGTATGGGGAGGAGTATGGAGACGCTGGAAACTGTCACAGACCTCCTAAGTGTAAAGGATTAGTACTATTTTATTAGTATTGGTACTGAGAGAGTGAAGCCCTCTCCCACCTCTCTGATAAATACCTGGTAGATGGGAAACCTGACTTTGCTAATTAAACTGAATGACACCCCCCCCACCCACCCACCCACCTCCCATACAGCTCCCTGCTCTTCTCTCACTTCCTGAGGCCGTTCTCCTGGGGGTCCTCCGGAGGTTAGAAGATCTGAAACAGCGGTATTCAATCCTCAGGGTGCCTCAAAGGGAATCTCCAGGGCCTAATAAAATGCAGGTTCCCCTGAGTTCCTCATTCAACAGGTGAAGCTAGAGCCAGAGAATTTGTATTTCTCACAAGGTCACCCAGGAAGTGTCAGGGCGGCTGGCCCTAAGGCCACAACTTGAGGACCTTTGATGTGAAACTGCCAGGCTTGACTAAAAGACAAGTAAGTGCCTATGGGTTGGATGAAGTCCCAGCCCCCACTCCAGAGAACATTAAGGGAGGACAGTGACTGAGAGGGACACTCTACCTGGAGATGAGTTTTCCTTGTTCTGCGTGACATTTTAGATAAAATTGCACTAATAACTACAAATTAGAGCACTTAAAAAAATTATACTCTTATATGCTGAACCGTGCCCTCTCCCCCCAATTCATATGTTGAAGTCTTAAACCCTGGGCATCTCAGAATGTGACCTCAGTGGAAGGTAGTCTTGACTGAGGTAATTAAGTTAAAATGAAATCATTATGGTGGGTCCTGACCCAATCATCCTGGTCGAAAGGGAAAATTTGGACAGATATAGGTAGAACACCATGTGAACATGAAGACAGCCATTAACCAAGGAGAGAGACCCGGAACAGACCGTTCCCTTGTGACCCTCACAAGGAACTATCCTGCTGGGTGTGGTGGCACGTGCTTGTAATCCTGGTGGCTGGGGAGGATCGCGAGTTCAAAGCCAGCCTCAACAACTTATCAAGGCCCTAAACAACTCAGTGAGACCCTGTCTCTAAATAAAATATAAAAAAGTCTCAGTGGTTAAACACCCCTGGGTTCAATCCCCAGTACCAAACCAAAAAACTATATTCGTATATCTAGGAACCATCCTGGCTAACGCCTTGATTTTGGAATTCAAGTATCCAAAACTGTGAGACGATACACTCTTTTTTTTTTTTTAACCACTCAGTTTGTGGTGTTTTGTTACAGCAGCCCTAGCAAACTAATACACCTGCTTTCTCTCAAAACATCAGCTGATTTAGCAGTTGGATCTGCCTGGCAGCTGGCCCCTTTGGAGAGGACACATGCTCTCTGGTTCCACGGCCCCCTCACCCAGCCTGTCACTCACTCTCACACCACCTGCCTCACTCCTGCTTTGCTGAGGGCAATGGCAGATCTTGGCAATAATTAGCAGGATCCTTGTGTGATACCCATGTCTGTGCGTCCTTTCCCTAGAAGCAGCCTTCATTTCATGCCCAGAGAGTCCCCAACTGCAACCCTAGAGGGGTTGGTATAGATGGATGGTGGTGACACATGAGTACCCCAGCATCTCTGTGTCCTCCCCCAAAGCCCAGGCACCAGGCCCTTCTCTTCTCCAGGACCCAGGCGTTCAAGTCCCACCCCACTTTCAATGGGCTATTGTCCCAGACTGGGAAAGGCACGGGCAGAGTCTGACATCATGAAGCCTGAGGTGGGGGTGGGACTCCCCCTCCCCCAGCCTTCCCTGACTCCTCTCTCTGCTCTGGGTCTGAGGGATTTCCCCGCCCCTCACCCCCACCCCCACCCCGGGTTCTCCCGTGGGAGAGAGGACCCTCCCCGCACCTCCCCAGAGCTCAGGCCACCACAGTGCAGCTGACCTACTTGTATCAAACCTCCGCTGCTCTTAATCAGACTTGTAAAGGTCACCACCCAGGGCAGGGCCCCGGGGGCTTCAGGACCACTGTGGAACCTGCACACAGAGGGACTTCATGCCCAGTCCTCCTCGCACCACACACTGTTCTAAGGACACAGGGTGCAAAAGGCCGCTGAGATCCTGCCCTGGGAGGTCGAGGCTGGCCCAGTAAGCAGAGGACGAGCCACAGCTCTAGCTCCAGGTGCCTGAGTCCCATGGGAGGAAAGGACCGAATTTAAACGGAGGGGCAGGTAAGGAAGGCCTCGGAGAAGTGGTGTCCACGCTATGCTCCGTGCTCAGGATGAGTGGGCTGTGGCCAGGGGCGGCGTGGGCAGCGGGGTGAGATGGTGACCTCTTTCCAGGAAGGAGGAGCGACACTGGCGATGGCCCTGAGTCCGAAGGGGTCACGGGGTATTCGAGGAATGTGTTCGGTCACCCACTGTCCGTTCATCAATAAGAAGGGACACACTCAGAATAATGTAAAGAGGGCGTGTCCCCATGCCAAGAGGCGGGTCACACCTATGGTCATATGCACAGCAAGAGCCAAAAGAGAATAGAGCCGGAGGACGGAGGATGGAGGGGAAGTGACGGAGACAAGGCAGAGGTGACACTGAAGCTGAGGGCGGGAAGGACCTGACTCCTCTTCCTCCTGCCCACTCTGGCTTCTGCTGGCCTCTTGGTACCGATGTCACACCTAACGTTGCCACAGCTTCCTGAGGACAATGCCTCTGTTCCTCAGCTTGGGACTTCCATAGAGAAGAGACCGTCCCCCAGCAGGGACTCAGAATTGGGGTACACGGTGATGAAGGAGGGGGCAGCAGTGAGGCAGCCCCCCACCCCTTCAGGAAGGAGCTAGTAGAACCCAGGCGTCAGGCCGCCCAGTCCCAGCCCTAGTGACAAGGGCCCCTTTGTGCCCCCCTCCCTCGGGGGCAGGGAGGAGCTGGGCCCTGGAGGCAGGCGGCCCCTGGCACCCAGGGGGGAGGGGAGAGGCTGGCCAGTGGGGGCCTAGACCCCGGGAAGCCAGGGGACTGTGAGCTGGGCCGGTGAAGCCGAGGGCGCAGAAGCAGCTTCCAAGTGAGTACCGCGAGGGCCAGGGCACGGGCGGGGCAGAGCACCCTGGGGAGCTGAGAGGACGGGCAGCACCCAGAGCATGTGCAAGGTGAGGTGCTATGGGCGATGGAGGGTCACTGTGAAGGCCACTGATTCAGGCGGGGGCAGTGCTTGGGACTGCTGTGGGAATGTGTTGGGCCCACAGTGGGGACAGTGATGAGGTTTGGGCTGAGACCGAAAAAGAAAGTGCAAGAGACCTTCCTCAGCACCCCTGGTGGCTGGAAGTTCTGCAACAGTGGTTCTCCTGGGGTCCCCAAGTTAGGTGGCCATGGTCTGGGGAGGGCAAAGGACAGAAGGATGCCCAAGTGATCAGACACCTGCATGCTGTCATCTGGTAGTGGGGGAGGACAGCAGGCTGTGAAAGAGCAAGTTCTAATATCTGGCTGCACAGCAGGTGTGTGTGTGTGTGTGTGTGTGAGAGAGAGAGAGAGAGAGAGAGAGAGAGAGACAGAGACAGAGACAGAGAGACAGAGAGACTACACCTCACCTATCAGTCTACATCAGTGTTTCCAACTTTTTTCATTATACCTCACTAAACAACTTTTTACCTGACTTTTTCCTATGTCAATCCCTCCTCTGAAAGTTTAACCTGCAGATGTGCTTGCTGTCTCTCTGTGAATGCATGTGGGTCTTTAGAGATCCATCAGCCATTGTCACAGCCAAGATGGTCTGGTTCCCCGCCTAAGACCAGTGTTCGCATCCCTTGAGAAATGGTCTTCATGTTCATCTCACATATCTGCCCAGGATGTGGCTGCTCCTCACCTGTGCCTGTCTCCTGTACCTTCCTGACACTCTGCCATGGCTATGAGTCTGGGTGGAGCCATCCAGGGCTACACCTCAGCGTGCGCATGCCTGTCCTTGTATCTTGTGAGCAGAGCCGGGTGTGTGTGTGTGTGTGTACCTGGAGTCCAGGCCCAGGTCTGTCCAGGTGTGGGGGCACAGGAGGGAGGGCAGCCTGGAGAGCTGCAACAGTATGGTGTGATTGGAGGCACCTCAGTGTGGACACAGGGGTCACGGTGCCCACGTCCTCCGGAGTCTGTTGGGTGAGCCTGCTCCTTCTGGCCGTCACATTTCTTACCAGCGCTTGCCTGTGTCTGTGCATGAGTCTGTGTCCGTGGGAAGAGGGCAGCAAAGACTGGGAAAGCAGCCACTTGAAAATCCTGGCTCCAACCCCCAGGCGACCCACAGAGCAGCCGTGTGCCAGGGGCTCGCTAACCCCTGGACCTGCCTGGACCCACCCAAAGTCCAGTCAGGAGAGTGTGACTCCTCTCCCCTTCCCACCTACCTCAGGAGCCCCCCAGGACGAGGAACCCGCACCCTGAGGGAACAGGGCTCTTTTGTACTGGGCACTGGCTTCTGGTGAGGGTGGGGACACCAGGGCCGGCCGCGGGGTGGGAGAGGGCGGCAGGAATTCACGCGGCATGTTGGGAATGCTGATGCTGTGAAACCCTGTCATTGATGGGGCCGGGTCCCTGCCTGCCACCCCCAGGCCTCGGAGGTGGGACATCTGCTCCTTCACCCCACTCACCATACCCGCCTGTTCCCCCAGCCCATTCCTTCCCACAGTTCTCCCGCCTCCTCCGTTTGGGGGGAGGTGTAGCCTTAGAGTGGCTTGGAGACTGAGTGGGTGAGTCCCAGCATCTATAGCAGAAGAGGACACATGGGCAGACTTACGACAGGGCTCAACCCGCAGAAAGAAGGGGACAGTGGGTGCTTAGGCCCCCACCCCCTGGCACCTGTGTGACTCTTGTTCCAGGTTGGTGACTGGCAGCTTAAAGTGGAACTACAAGATATCCCCAACTCAGGGAGACCGAGGTAAGGGACAGGTACCAACTTCCCTTTCCTCCTGGCTTGCCTTGCTTCTCCCTTCTCCGTGGCTGGCCCAGCCTCAGCACTGTCCTTGAAGACCCCCAAGCACATAACAGTGCTGAAGATCATTATCAGTGTATCCCTACCACACAGAGACAAGGAACTTGGTGGCTGAGATCACAGATCTGCTGAGTGGCCTTAGGCAAGCTACTTAACCTCTCTGGATCTCAGTTATAAAACGAGGATAATAATTCTTCCCACATTGAAGAGATCAGAGGCGTTAATGTAGCAGTGAGGCACAGGCCTGGAACATGACCGTTGTTATATAAGTATTTGTAATTAAAATAACAGCAGCAGCAGCGGCTCCTTCCTGAGGCCTTTCAAGAAGCTCCGCCTGTCACTTCCCTGGCCTCTAACCTGCCCCTCTCTCTCTCCAGCTGTGGCTCGCTCACTTGCCGCCCACAATGATATTCCTCACGGCTCTGCCCCTGTTTTGGATTATGATTTCAGGTAATGTCTGGGGGGGAGAGGGTGCTGGGGATCTTGAGCCTTGGTCTCAGGACCCCCAGGCCATGGCAGGTGATGGGAGCCGGAGGGGGTTATCTGGTAGGAAGTATCCCTCAGCCTCAGCTGTCCTGCCTGCCCGCAGCCTCTCGAGGGGGTCACTGGAGTGCCTGGATGCCCTCGTCCATCTCCGCCTTCGAGGGCACCTGTGTCTCCATCCCCTGCCGCTTTGACTTCCCGGATGAGCTCCGGCCAGCTGTGGTGCACGGAGTCTGGTACTTCAACAGCCCCTACCCCAAGAACTACCCGCCCGTGGTCTTCAAGTCCCGCACCCAAGTTGTCCACGAGAGCTTCCAGGGCCGCAGTCGCCTCCTGGGGGACCTGGGCTTGCGCAACTGCACCCTCCTGCTCAGTACCCTCAGCCCCGAGCTGGGGGGCAAGTACTACTTCCGCGGGGACCTGGGGGGCTACAACCAGTACACCTTCTCAGAGCACAGCGTCCTGGACATCATCAGTGAGTCTCCCAGGGGTCGTGCAGGCACCAGGGGGTTGGGGACAGCGCTGGGCTGGGCAAGAGTGTGGCAGTCCGTCCTCCTAGCATCCTCCCGGGAGGTCTTTGGCAGATGCAGGAGGAATGGGTGGGGGTGCAGACCACATGGATTGCCCACATGACCCAGATGAGCAAAGCAGGACCCTAAATAGACTAGCTGCCCTTGGAGGAAAATGGTTGCTCTTACTCATCTAGAAACATCTGGAAGTAAAGGAAGTGGGGCCCAGGGGTCAGGGGCAACTTCTCTGGATCGCTGCTTTAACTGGGTGGTCTTGGGCATGTTTTTTAACTTCCCTGGGACTTGGTTTGCTCTTCTGTAAAATAGAGATAAGAACAGCACTTGCAGCCAATGAGTGAATAGTTGTCAAGTGCCCCTGGCGGTGCCTGGCACCTGGTACCCTGCTCAGGCTAACAGAATGCAGGGCCACCACTGTCAGGCATTGTGAATTTTCAAGGGAAACCAAACTGTCGATTTTTCAGTGTAAACTCCTAATTCCTAAATATTGGTGCTGATTTAAATATACTTTTAAAAAAATCCTGGACCTGGGGTGTAGCTAGTTGGTGTGAGACCCTGGGTCCCATCTCTAGCACCATAAAATTAAAAAAAAAAATCCTGTAGGCCAAATAAAATGTGGCTAACTCCAGATTTGTCAATCAAAATAGAGCCTAATTTCAGGCAGTGCCACTGCCTAACTTATGGACGGACTTATTACTTAGAGATCTAAGATTCAGATTCCCCAGTAACACAAGGTCTATACGGGGAGCTGGATTATAGCTCCGGTGTAGAAAGAGACCACATCACACACGCCACACAGTGCACATACTATATACACACATGACACACACACAAACTGCACACACCCCACACATACACAACGCACACACACAGGCGGGCAGGTCAATCAAAGCAAGCATGGGGGCAACGCAAGGTTTCTTAGAGAATATACTTAGTGTCAACAGCACTGACGCTGACTGCAGGTGGCAGGGTTTGAAGCCCAGTTTTACCCTGTGCAAGCTATGACCTCAGTTTCCTCCTTTGCAAAATGCGCAAAATAATACCGTGAGCTTTTCGCATTGCTGGGGTGATGGGGTGAATTAAGCACCCACGGTGAGTATTCAGAGCACTTTGTTGTTACTTCATTATTATTGCACCCCGATTGGGTCTGTGGAGGGCTTTGGGGTGACCAGGAGGAGGGAAGGTTATGGAGATTTCGGTATCCAGGGGCCCAGGTACCAGGAATGGAGCTGGACAAGGTGGGGAAGGCCCGGAGCCCAATGCTGTCTCTTGGACCCTCCTTTTCTTCACTTGGCCTAGACACCCCCAACATCGTGGTTCCCCCAGAAGTGGTGGCAGGCAAGGAAGTGGAGGTCAGCTGCATGGTGCCCGACAATTGCCCAGAGCTACGCCCAGAAATAAGCTGGCTGGGCCATGAGGGACTCGGGGAGCCGACCGTGCTGGGTCGGCTGCGCGAGGACGAGGGCACCTGGGTGCTGGTGTCGCTGCTACACTTCGTGCCCACCAGGGAGGCCAACGGCCACAGGCTGGGCTGCCAGGCTGCCTTCCCCAACACCACCCTGCAGTTCGAGGGCTACGCCAGCCTGGACGTCAAGTGTGAGCCTGGGTGCGGGCCGGGGGGCGGGGCCGGGGGCGGGGCAGGGCGGGGCCACGGCGGGGCGAGTCCGCAGCCCCCGCCCACCTGCTGACCCGCGGTGTCGGTTCAGACCCCCCGGTGATTGTGGAGATGAACTCTTCAGTGGAGGCCATCGAGGGCTCCCACGTCAGCCTGGTCTGTGGGGCCGACAGCAATCCCCCGCCACTGTTGACCTGGATGCGCGACGGAACGGTGCTCCGCGAAGCCGTGACAGAGATCTTGTACCTGGAGCTGGAGGAGGTGACCCCCGGGGAGGACGGTGTCTATGCCTGCCTGGCAGAGAACGCCTATGGCCAGGACAACCGTACCGTGGAACTCAGCGTCATGTGTGAGTCCCGGCCCTGTGCACCCCAGGCACCCACACACCTCAGCAGGGGACAGATAAGAGCCAAAGTGTTCACTGGGGATCCCTGGGACCTGCCATAAACGTGGTCGAAGTCATGAGCCTGCCATAAACGTGGAGGGGAGGACTGCAGATCAAGGTGTTCCTTTGTTTTTCCCACAAGTGTCTATCTGGTGTGCTCCTGTTCTGCACCACTCTTATTCCAAGGACAAGACCGGAGGACACCGATTCTGTCCCTGCCACCTAGGAAAGCCCTTTAAATGGTTTCCTGGAGTCAGCCCTTGGCTGATGAGAGCAGATCTGGGCCTGTGTGTGTGTGTGTGTGTGTGTGCTTGGAACGGATCTACCGCTGATCTACACCCCAGCCCAGGAATCTGTGTTTTAATCTGTTACAGTTCCAGGGGGAACCCAGCCCCATTGAGTGCACTATACACAAGGGGAGCTGTCAGAACTGGTTAGCAGTGAACCAAGCAGAGGCCATTCATTCATTCATTCATTCACAAATATTTATTGAGGCAAAGTGCCCAGGATTGGGGATAATAATGACAGCCACAGCCAATGTTTACTCAGCACTTCCTGAGTGTCTACACGCATGCTCTTCCCCCAGGCATCCCCTGCCCACCTCCTCCTAGTCTCCCCAAGCCTCCTCTAGTCATCCTATTTTAAACTGTGACTACCCTGACTTTTCCTTTGTTTTCCCCCACACTTACCCTATTTTGTAAATATATTTGCTTATAGAGCATTTCCCCATGTGGACATTGTTTAAGCTAGAACAATGCCTGTCACTCAGCAGATTCTCAGTGAATGCAGGATAATCACCCTATGAAGATGGAATTATTATTAAGCCCATTTTCCACATGAAAAAAAGCTGCACATAGGTGGGAAGGGGTAGATAGCATCAGGAGCTACAGAGAAGCACTCTGGCTGTAGAACCACATTCTGATAAATTTATAAGACAGCCAGGACTGGGGTTACCTGTACCATCCTGAGTGGTTGAATTAGCTTTATGGTGCCATGGTGGAAGTTGACTGGTAGGGGCAGCAGCACTGCCTGGTTTTTGACCATCGGTCCTCTGTCCTGTCCCCTAGATGCACCCTGGAAGCCGACCGTGAATGGGACAATGGTGGCTGTGGAGGGGGAGACAGTCTCCATCCTGTGCTCCACACAGAGCAACCCGGACCCTATTCTCACCATCTTCAAGGAGAAGCAGATCCTAGCCACGGTCATCTATGAGAGCCAGCTGCAGCTGGAGCTGCCCGCAGTCACGCCCGAGGACGATGGGGAGTACTGGTGTGTGGCTGAGAACCAGTATGGCCAGAGAGCCACCACCTTCAACCTGTCTGTGGAGTGTGAGTACCCCTTCCACACACTGGTAGCCCTCACTCCCTTCACTTGTGATGGGCGGTACAGCCACCTGCCATAAAAGTTGGGGACACCTGGAAGGGACACACACATTTCAGCCAGGGGAAGCTTTGCAGGTCCTCACCAGCAGATGAGAATGGGGGTGTCAGGGAAGCTGAATCCATAGCAAAAAAATAAAAAATAAAAATCTCACCAGATAATACTGTGTTCCCACCTGCCAGCATGGAACTATGACCAAGGGAGGTTGCAGGGTCCTGGGGCGACTGCCCCTCTACATGAACTAGAACAGAGACTGTGGATCATTCCTATGTACGAGGTGCTGTTGGAAATATGGTCCAAGGACCCACTCATTTCATCTTCCCAGGGAGGTTCTATTACTGTCCCTAGTTTACAAAGAAGGAAACTGGGACCTGGAGACGTTATGCCACTTGCCCAAGGTCACATAGCCAGCAAATGGCAGGATTTGAGATTCAAATCCAGGTGATCTGATTCTACTCTCCTGTACTATCCAGAATGGACCTCAACCTGTGTTACTACATCAGCGTACATGGACTGAGAAGTTGTTTTGTGCTAAGGGCTGAGCGACTCTGTGGGAGGTGGGTCACAGGTTTAGAAGACACCAAGCTTATTAACAGATACAGTGCAGCTTGAGTGGTGAGAGGGATGCTCATTAAAAAAGCTACTGTCTTGGCAATGAAATGCATCGTTCCGTTGCAAACTAGGGCCTCTCCTGACCTCCTCTCTGCAGATAGCACCCTCTGCTCCCGCCTCCCCACCCCAGGCCATCACTGCAGGTTGTAGCAGCCAAGTCACAGTTTCCACTCCCCTTAGGCAAGTAACTCCCTCTGGAGTGTGTCACTTCTGGGTTTCCATTCCCCTGCTTCCTCCTCAGCTTTGCTTGGCCTCTGGCGCAGGTCTCTCCGCACTTCACCTCAGGCTTCAGTGACTCCATCTCTAACGGCCCCCTCCATATGAATTTGCCAGTGAGATTGGACATGTAAAGCGTTCAGTAGTGTCTGCCCCACAGTCTGTGCTCAGTATTCTGTTTGTGGCAGTAATTAGGACATAGTGGATAGGAACGATCATTAAACGCCATCTCGGGTGGTTAAGCCTTGGTCAGCAGCTCCTCCGTTACCTATAATCCTGGGCACCCCCCCCCCATCACTGCCCCCTCTAACTTCCTCATGATTATGGCAGGTGGCTGTACGGTGCTCTTCTTTCTCATATGTGCCATCCTGGGCCCAATGTCCCCTCTGCTTCAGCACTCTTTCCCCCATGCTACCCCAAATCAGTAGTTCTTATTTTTAAGGGCCGGAGAACCCTCTGAGAATCTGGTAGAAGCCTCAGAACAGACACACCCCTCCTGGGTCAGAAGATAGGGCAGGACACTCTCCTTAAGGGCCTGCCCTGGGCCATGGAACCCAGTTCTTCGCAGGTATTATCTTGCAAAGCAGATACACGTCATCATCATCCCCTTTAATTGAGGAGAAAATGAAAGGTCAGAATTCCCTGCGGCCATGTAGCCTTGGCCACAAAGCTAGGAAGGCGGGTGGATGTCTGGGTCTTTAGAGTCCTGATAGCTGGCCTCTGCTCTTAGATCTTTGGCTGCTTCTCCTCCCTCTAGCCCTTGACACAGGAGGACTCACAGAATCTTGTTTTGAAAACAAATGACCAAATTTGGAGCATGAGGCCTTCAACCTACTGGAGGCAGGTGCAGGGCAGCAGTGGCCCTGTCACCTGCCCTGCCTGCTGAGGTCCTCCTTCTTCACCAAGAACTCTGTAAACTGCTTGCCCCCAGGTCCCTTCTGTCCATGCAGTCAGTGTCCCCATAGGGCATGTAGGAGGCAGTCACCTTTACTGAGTGCTTACAATATGCAGGGGACTGGTCTGAGCAAGGTGCCCATATTGACTGACTTCATTGTCACCACCACACGCGTGGGGAGAGGGGACTGTTCTTCACCGCAGCTTAATAGAAGGAAACTATAAAGTTTTACTGGAGTCCTGGACCTGACAAAGTTGAGCAGACCTAGGACAAAAATCCCAGCTCTGTTTTCCTGTTTTGATGCACAATCCCGGGCAAGTGACCTCAGCTTTGCTGAGTCTCAGATCCCTCCTCCGAAAAAGGTATGATCAACAGTAACAGTACCGCACTACAAGCAAGGCTTAGAGGACTAAGGGATTCGTGTTGAGCCTCCCAGCACCTGATGAATCCTGTGCACTCTATATGTTCGTTTTCAATCTCTTTTCTCATCCACCTTTTACTGGGACACCAGCTTGGGTATTTGTCACGAGTTCCTGCAGCTGAGACCTGGCTCATGTGCTATCTCTGCTAGGATGCTGCTATCTACCTAATCTGAGTAGGACTCTAAGTATTTACAGTGCACTCATGCACCAATCTGCAGAGCCCTTTGCAGGTTAAGGACCACAACCCCTGTTTGTACAGAGAAGTCCCTCTGGAAGGCCCAGGGAAGCTGGATGATGTCACTTAGCCAGTAGATGGCAGAGCTGAGACTCAAGCCAAAGCCATGCCACCCCAAACTCCCCATTCTTTGTTCCCCTTGGGATTTATACATCATGTCAGGGTTTCATAGGTCTTCCAGGTTCCCCGCAAAGCTGCCAAGATACTGAGCACATGCCCTGGACTAAGGTGTTGGCCAGTGTCCCCCATGGTCCAGGGTGGATGCCCCACCACGGGAGTGACAGCTGTGCTGTTTGAGTGGAAGGGTTTTGGTAGAGTTCAATCTCCATCATTTTAGATTTATTGTTTTTAATTTTCTCTGGGCTGAGTTGATTGGTCAGTAGTACAACGAGCATACTGCACATTTGTCTAAATGGCATTTTGGGCCTTCTGTATTCACTTGGTAGACTAAGAGACAAGTACATTGAGATTCTTATTGGAATTGTTCCTGGTGCAATCTATCTGCTCATGTGACTTCCTGGCCCACTCTTTTGTTGCTGGAAATTGAAAATTCATGGGGTCAGTGGACCAAGGGTCTTTGCCTGCATGTAAATGGATTTGGGTCAGAATTAACAGGACCAGTGTTCAGTCCAGAGTAAGCAGAGGAAAGTACCAATTTTTCAAGGGGGATAAAGAACATGGTTTAAAAAGCAACATTCAATGTTCTCATATAATTTCATATTTTGAAAAATGAAACAATAAAAATTCCAATACAATATTTGTAATCAAATGGTAGCAAAGAAAAGCTCAACCAAATGACTTGGGATGGATTTGGTTTTTGGTGCTGGTGGCAATGGGGAGCCCAATGAGAGGGGAGCAGGGGGATTCTGGGGGAGGAAACAGGTAGGAGTCATGTGATGGTTGGACTGAAAGTGGGCTGGAAGCCAGGAAGAAGACAGGAGACTGGATCTGTGTGCAGGATTCTGGGGGCCGGGAGAATCCAATAGCTCTTCCCTTCTAAATGTCTGAGGGAGACACAGCAAGACCCAGTCTTGGAAATGAGAGAACAACCATTATCAGTATATAACCAGGTGGGGATGAGTGCCTGGAAGGAAACCTGAGCAAGGCAAGGGGTGAGCGATGAGTGTAGTTTCCATGGTGGGTCAGAGAAGGAGCTGCCTCCTTCCTGTGGAGGGAGGAGATGGGCAGGTCTCCTAGGGGAGCATTCCAGGTGGAAGGAGGAACCACAGACCTGGGGGCGGGAAGGTGCTCCATGGGTCTGAGAAACAGTAAGAAGGCCACTGTGACTTGCAAGGGAAGGGACCAAGGTAGAAAGGAAGGAGCCAGGGCAGGAGAGAGAGGGAGTGGCCAGGTCCCTGGGGTTTTGTAGACCAAATAATTGAGATTTTTTTAAAAAAAAATTATTGTGGGGGTTTTTTGGCACTGGGAATTGAACTCAGGGGCACTCAGCTACTGAGCCACATCCTCAGCCCTGTTTTGTATTTTATTTAGAGACAGGGTCTCACTGAGTTGCTTAGCCCCTCGCTTTTGCTGAGGCTGGCTTTGAACTTGAGATCCTCCTGCCTCAGCCTCCCAGGCCACTGGGATTACAGGTGTGCACCCGGCCTGAATTGAGGTTTTATTCTAAGTGATCCAGGTAGCAGCTGGAAGAGGGCTTTGAGCAGGGAGTGCTCGGTTTATGTTTTATAAGGTGAACAAAGTTAGAGATGGTGCAAGCAGGGAAGTGCAGTTCATCCCTGTGACATGATATCTTGGTCTGGCCCATTTTGAGGTTGGAGTTGCCCCCAAAGCAGTGGCAGGAGGACATCCTGAACCCTCCAGAGTTGGGGCCAATGCGGTTCTAAAGGAAGAAGTTCTGAAGGCCAGGGTGGTCGGTCCAAAGCATTTATTAGAGAAACTCTCACACAGATGGGGGGGGGGGTGCCATGTCCTTGCCAAAGACAGCTAGAGAAAGGGACATTCTTCCTAGGGATCTCTGTCATGAGGGTGTTGGAATGTGGTGTTTATAAGAGGGTTGAAAGAACTCGGCTCAGGGCCGGGGCTGAATTGTTTTTCAGGGTTTTGAGGAACGACCTAAACATCTTTATCAGTGCCTGGGAATGTTCAAGGCCCTGGCCTAGGTTCAACTCTGCAGGGAAAACCTGCAGCTGGCCGGATCACACAGGGGTCAAGGCGCTCCGTGTTTCTTGGTCAAGACAGAGAAAAAGAGCAGGGAGAGCCGGGGATCCCACACACAGCTACCGCCCCCACCCGTGGCCACCCTGGCCCTGCCCTCGGCCAAGGAGGCCTTTGAGGCCCAGCCCTGGGCGGGCTCCAGCCCACTCCGTCTTGGTCTTGACCCTGCAGTTGCCCCCATGATTCTCCTGGAGTCGCACTGTGCCGCGGCCCGTGACACGGTGCAGTGCCTGTGCGTGGTAAAGTCCAACCCAGAGCCGTCTGTGGCCTTTGAGCTGCCGTCGCGCAACGTGACCGTGAACGAGACGGAGCGGGAATTCGTGTACTCAGAGCGCAGTGGCCTGCTGCTCACCAGCATCCTCACACTGCGGGGACAGGCCCAGGCCCCGCCCCGGGTCATCTGCACCGCCAGGAACCTCTACGGCACCAAGAGCCTGGAGCTGCCCTTCCAGGGAGCCCGTGAGTGCTGGGGCCTTGGGGTGGGAGCCCCAGGAAGCAGAGGGCCCCTTTTCGATCCAGGCACCCGCCTCTCCACCAAGGCCACTTGGATACGGATCAGTGGTGCAGATTAATAAAGTAGCACAAGCTACTGAGGAGCAGCTGCCCTGAGTCTGCCTGCTCTTCATGAGCCCCTTCCTGAGCCCTCTAGCGATTTCTAAAGGGATCCTGCATAGAGCCGGGAGCCTCACGTCGGCCAGGCATTGCAAGGATGTGTCAATATTTTGACTCTCCCAACCTGTCTTTGGAGACCCCAAGTGTCCTCATTACCACCAGCATCCCTGAGGGCACCTGGGTCTTCTCTGTCTTCAGACCGACTGATGTGGGCCAAGATTGGGCCAGTGGGAGCTGTGGTCGCCTTTGCTATTCTAATTGCCATCGTCTGCTACATCACCCAGACACGCAGGAAGTGAGTGCGGGGGCTGATAAGGGGAGGGGGAGGCTCCAGGGGATGGGAGCGGGAGGTGCAGCAGAGGCTGGGTTGGGCAGGAGGGCAGCCCTGCGTGAGTGGGGAGGCAGATTCTGCTCCGGGAGGGAGGGCTCCTGCCTTCGTGGGTCAGGGCCCAGCCTGGCTGAGCACGTGGATGACACAGGACCTGTCTGCCCAGCTGTGTGCTCAGCCTCCCTGCCTATAGGGCCGTCCTCCGCCAGGGAAGGCGCCCCAAGGCCGGGAAGGGTGGGCAGCTGTGAATGCAATGAAGAGTATTTGCTCTGGTAACAGAAAGAGAGGGCTGGGAGCCACCGTGGGGTCCCTTGGGCCAAAGTCCTAAGGTGGATGTGGGTGAGGAGAGCTCAGGGAGAGGGCGATCTGGGAGTGCCATGAGGGCTGACATGTCCTGCCCTGCAGAAAGAACGTGACAGAGAGCCCCAGCTTCTCGGCGGGAGACAACCCTCATGTCTTGTACAGCAGCGACTTCCGCATTTCTGGGGCACCGGAGAAGTACGAGGTGAGGGCCAGAGCCCCATGGCTCTAGGCTAGCCAGGGGACCTGGATGTCAGGGACACTGAGGGCCTGAGCAGGGCCCGCGAGGCCAAGGGGCAGGGGGGGAGAGGAAGGAGTCGTGGAGGGCTGGGTTGGCTGGGAGGTGGGGAAGGGCGTGCCAGGCTGAGGCTGTGGGGGGACCACGAGGGACAGGGCTCAAGACAGCCCTTGCCCTGCCTGTGTCTATGACTGCCTTTCCTTCTCCAATAGTCCAGAGAGGTCTCTACCCTGCAATGTCACTAAGAGCCCCAGGAGGTAGGTTCCGGGGCCTCAGTGTGCCTCCCTCTGGGCCCTCCGCGGTCCTGGGGTCGGCTTGCCTGTGTGTCCTCGTCAGGCGTCTAAGGCAGTCTCTGGCTTAGTCTGGCCCTGCCCAGCAGCCTCGTCTACTCTTGCTGTTGCTGCTCCCTCTGTCTGTGGCTGCTGTCCCATGTGTGTCCAGATACCTGGGGGGTGGGGGTACCCGGTGCAAAGCATCATGGGAAGATGAAGTCACACCCACAGGTCCTCCCAGATGGAGGAGGGAGACCACGCCAAATCCAAACGGGGGAGTTTGGAAACTTCTGGAAAGGTGGGATCTGACTGAGTAGACTTCACCTGGAAAGGTGTTCTCGGTGGCAGCATGTGGCCCTGGAGTCCCTGTTGAAGAGAGTTTCCTGGAGGAACAGACTTTGTAGGCCAGGTTCAAGCTCTGCAAAGAGAAGGTTGTGGTGTTAGGGGCATGGGCACCTGCAAAGGTCCCAGAGTGGGACGTGGTGGCTGTGGGGCTCCGCGGGCTGGTGGTCCTTGAGAGAGGAGGCTCATGCAGGGCTGTGGAGCTGAACTTGGGACCGGGGAGGTGCCAACACTCTGTCATTTTTGCATCACTTCCTGATGCAAAGGAAAAAGAGGGAGAGGACACTGCTGAGGGGTTGTCACCTCCCACAGAGCGAGAGACGCCTGGGATCTGAGAGGAGGCTGCTGGGCCTCCGGGGGGAGCCCCCAGAGCTGGACCTGAGCTATTCCCACTCGGACCTGGGAAAGCGACCCACCAAGGACAGCTACACCCTGACGGAGGAGCTGGCGGAGTACGCGGAAATCCGCGTCAAGTGAGGGGGCCGGGGCAGCCCGTGAGCCAGCCGCCCTCAGGACCCTCAAGGCCCCCACTGGCTGTGGGCTCCCTTCCTCCTGAGAGCTGTGGGGGCTGGGGCAGGAAGGGGCTGGGGCAGGTGACACTGAGGTCCTGGGGGCCTGGCCTCCCTCTCCTTCCCAGCTGCCCCCTCCCTGCCAGCACCCTGCGCCCACATTACAGCTCCCCTCTATCCTCTCTAACCTCATCTGTCTGGAGGGGAGCTCTGTCTGTCCATGTTATTTATTGCTGCCCCCCATCCCCACCCCGCCTGGTCTCCTGTCCCCACACCTGGACCCTGGACCTGTACAAAAGGGACATGAAATAAATGCCCCAACACCAAATGTCTAGGCCCTGATGATTTCTGACGTGTCCTTAGGGATCCTGCCATCCTGCTTCTGGAATGATCTCAGTTGTTCCTCACCCTCTGCTGGGCCCTGGTATGGGCTGAGCCCAGGGAGTCTGTTCTCCTCTCTGGTGGCTGGGGGAGAGGTCTGTTCTGGCTTCTGGGGGATTTCACGTGACAATCCTCATTCCTGCTTTGGTGGCAGTCAGGATAACTGACACCCGGGTTCCCATTTGCATGAGGCTCACTGAAAGGAAGGCAGGTCCCTGAAGGGTGCAGGGTCCCATTGACCACAGTCCCCACCACTCCCTCTTGTCCACACCCTTCACTCATGGCTTCACTCATTGACATTATCTTCTGGTCCCTGCAGGTCACGTGGGAACCCCAGACCCAGGCAGCTCATGAGCCTGTGTTGGTTTTTCTCCCACCCTTCACACTCAGGCTGCACCCTGCAGCTTCCCAACAAATATTAGGTGCCAGTTGTATACAGAGCCCCTTCAGGAAGCTCAGGCCATCCTGAGACAAGACTCCCAGAAGAAGGCTATGAAGATTAGTTTATTGGGATTGGAGAAGATGAGTGATTTTTTTCCAGGGTCCCAGAGCCAGGGAATGGTGTGGCCAAACTTTGGACTCAGTTCTTCTGGTTAAAATGTGCCTTGTTTCTATCACACCTGTCAGGAATTTAAAGGGCCAGTCTCTCTGGTATAAATGGTATTATGACACCATTTGTTGATTGCTTACTGTGGGCCACAGGATTCTGTGCAATTTACGTTAATTAATCTCCATTTCCTTTTCCTAAAAATTATGACAATGGTTCCCAAAGTGCAAGTCACCAGCCAGCAACATAAGCATTCCCTGGGAAACTCATTAGAAAGGCAAATTTGCAGGCCGTGCCTCAGACTGCAGGAATCAACACTGGGGAGAGGCCAGCAGAGTGTGTGTGTGTGTGTGTTGAGACCTCTGGAGGATGCTGATGCCCACTGATGTTTCAGAACCTGGAGTTGCTAATGCACAGAGAGATCAAGTCTCTTCCTCTAGGCCCCCCAGCTGGTAGGTGTGGAGCCTAGACTTGAGCACCTACCCGTGGCTCAGAGGCCACCCTCCTATCAGTGTTTTGTCCTGTCATTTTGGTGAGAACAAACTTTGCAGGGTCCTGGGGCCTTGAAAGAAGATTTAGAAGGAAGCTGTGGTGCTGCAGGTATTCAGGAAGGGGATCAGGAATCAGGGAAAGAAGACAGCAGTTGTCCCTGTTGGTGGAAGATGACAGAAGATACAGGACCCAGATCAGGGGCTGGAGCTCTCTTCACGGAGCTTGTCATCTCTTGCCGTCTCGAAGGACGAAGGACAGGAAACAAATAGTCTCTGTCACACAGGATACCAAACAGTGACATGGGACACCTGCTGCTAGGGAAAGCGAGGGGCTTTCAGAGCATGTGACTTAGGGACTCAGCGGTCAGGAGAGGCTTCCCAGGGGAGGAAAAATCACGCCTGGGTGAAGTCCCAGGGAGGAATGTGATTGGCAGAATTCCAGGAGCTGAAGCGGCAGGAGGCGTGTGAAATGGGGCAGAGAGTAGGAGGCTCTCTTGACCAGCAGGATGGAAGTTTCTTCCAGTTTCCCGCACACGAGTTCATGGGCCCCACCCTGGCGCACCCGTCCCCTGGCAACAGACCCTGGCTCCAGCAGGTCTGGCCCGGTAGGAATGTGCTCTGAGGACTTTGCCCTGAAGAGCAGAGTAGTGTCAATAACCAGGGATCGGGGAATGACATCTGGCTGCCCAAAGTGCAACCCAAGCGTGATGGTGGCACTTGAGATGATCCCAGAGGGGCCGGCGTGACTTTTATATTACTGTTTGTGCTTCATTTAGTCAGTCTCCCAACAAAAGGAAACCAGCGTACCCAACTGGCAATTTAAAAATAAGTGATTAAATAAAAGCATTGGAGGGAGACTAAGCTAAAAAGAATAAAAAAATCAAGTGAGTTGTTTTAAAGAAATGTATTAAATGAAAATATTTCCCGAGGTTTGCAGACAGAACCCAAGTTTTGAAGATTGTGGGAAAATCTCTAAAGTTTGGGAAATGGTGAAGTCATCTGATGGCAAAGACCATCCCTTAGGAGAGACGGACACTCCAAGATGATACCCAAGTAGGATTCACGCTCTTGGACTTTCTTCACCCAGCTCCTGGACCCTTCCAGAACTCAGTACGTGCTTAGCCAGGCCTGTGGATGGACCCCAACAGAACCAACCTCTGCCTCTTGGAGCTGACATTGTGAGACAGAGACAGACAACAATGAGGTCAGCAAGTGCCACATTATTGTACTTTAGATGGTAATCATACCAATATGGCGCCCGAGCAGGTTGGGAGGCGAATGTGTGGGACAAACCTGTGTGTGAGGAAGAGGAGTCATTTTGAGTGGAGCCCAGAAGGAAGGGAGAGGGGGAGCTCTGGGGGCTTCTGAGAAATGTGGGTCCAAGGAACATCAAAAATCAGTGGCAAAGGCCCATGGTGGGAGTGTCTTTGTGGTGCTCGTGGAACAAGAAGGAAACTAGGGAGTCTGAGCCATGAGGGAGCCCAAGGCTGCCAAGCCCTGGATCAGAGGGCTTCTATGCCAGGGGCAGAGCGTGGGCTTTTACTCTGAGTGAGTCGGGAAGCCACCGGAGAATGGGACTGAGAGAAGCGTCCTGGGCAGGCTCGAGGTGTAGCAGACCTACTGGCAGCGGTGTAGGTAGGGTGCAGCGGTGACCAAGACAGAGGAAGTGGACATGGAGAGAGGGGCCAGGCCAGGACCCTAGAGGAGGAAGAGATGGGAGAAGGGGATTCCCAAGGAAGGGAAACCAGAGGCGACTCCCCTGTTCCTTAGGTGCCAGAGGAAGAGAGAGGACAGGTTCAGTGGGGAACACAAGAGTGGTGTGTTCTGGCCTCATTCAGGCCCGGGGAGGGGCTGCTGGGGACCGGAAAGGCTGATGGCATCCTTCCCTGGAGAACCCGTGACCCAGTGACTCACAGCCACCAAATCAGAGACACAGATAAACTCCAGAGATGAGCTGTGGGTGGGCCAGATTAGAACTGAGCAGGTCTCATGGTGTCAGATGCGGGGAGGGATGGGCTGCCACACGCAGGAAGGAGGTCACCCAGGCACCAGGGACAACTCTCCTCCTATCAACTCCTGACATTGAGTTACTTCTGGTTCAGAGGACCCCACCCCCAGCCTGTCCCTGGGACGGTGCCTGGGGCAGGCATCTCCATTATCTTCCTGGATGAAAGGGCTCCAGGCTGCTGCTGCTACTCCCGAGCCTCATCCAGGCAGGGTCCCTGGTTGGAGGAGGACTGGGCTCTGGATGGGCCCCCGTGGGAGCTCACAGCTCAGGAATAGCCAAACCTCCTGCCTTCTCCATCCTTCACTCTCAACTCCACCTGCTCCCCAGATAGGAGGTGACAACCTCATCCCAGGCAGAACAGCAGCCAAGCAGAAGACCCCGCCCACAAACTCACTTGGTTTAGAATATCTTCCCTGGGCACAAGGAGGGGAATCAATTTGGTCTCAAAAGCCCTCTCTATCAAACTCAGGCTAGGGTCGGATATCCAGAGGGGAGGAAACCAATGTCACCATGGAGCCTTGTTCAACAGAGCAAGTGACAATGTCTATAATAACAACAGCTCCCTTTACAGAGTGCCCTTTCCATGACAGCTAGCACACAGTGCTACAACGCTTGTGACCGTGGTAAAGGGTGATCCCACAACACACCCATGAACTCGGTGACATCAATGTCATCCTTAGACAGAAACTGAGGGGATAGCACTGTGACGAATGGAGAACTGGCATTTGAACCCAGGTCTGGTTACCACGTGCTCTTCCCAGGGGCAGGTGCTGCAGAGCACTGACCCTGTGTGAGTCTGCTGACCCCTCGAGGAAGGCACTAACCGTCCCTCAGCCAGGCGGGGAGTGGCAGTCTAGTTGCCTGGCTCCGCAGCTTCCCTAGTAGGAGTTGACAGTCAGGTCACCCCAAGTGGAGACCATATACATCATTCAAATAAAAGAAGAAAGGAGGGGCTGGGTTGTGGCTCAATGGCAGAGCACTTGCCTAGCAGGGGTGAGACCCTGGGTTCGATCCTCAGCACCACATAAAGATAAATAATTAAAGGTATTGTGTCCATCTACAACTAAAAAAATATTTAAAAAAAAAAAGAAAAGATTAGCAAGGGCATCAAAACTACCTCTCCTGGGAACCCTGCACCCCAGTCTTTGCCTTCTCCACGAGGTTTCCAGAAATGAATTGGGTGACATCCTGTCACCCAATTTCCTCCTGGCATTGTGGCCAGCAGAATCCTCAGATACTCTTCCCAGGTGATGAGCAGCAATCCAGTGAGTCCCCTGCCTGAGACTTTTGGGAGCTGGAAGATCTCAGTCCCACACTGAGATCGCTGTTTTTTTTTTTTTAATCTTCTATTTTGAAATAATTATAGACTCACAGGAAGTTGCAAAGATAGAACAGAGAGATTTTCTGTGCCCTTCACTCAGTTCCCCTCTGTAGATGCTCCTTACATAATTACAGTCCAATATCACAACCAGGAATCTGACCTTGGCATAATGCACGTGGATGACCCCACATTGTTCTTATTGTGTCTGCACATGTAGACCCATCGCTGCAATCAAGGTACAGAATTACTCCCTTCCCCAAAGAGCTCCCCCCTCCTCCTTCTCCACCATCCCTAACCCCTGGCAACCAGTAATCTCTTCTGCATCTCTGTAATTTTGCCCTCTGAAGAGTGTTACAGGGTATGACCATTTGAGACTGGTGTTTTTCACTCAGTAAAATGACCTTCGGAATCATCTGTGTGGGTGCATATCAATACTCCATTCCTTTTCCCAGCTGCAGAGTACAGCCAGCCCTCCATATCTGCAAGTTCCACATTTGATTCAACCAACTGTGAATCAAAAGTATTTGGAAAAAAATTGCATTTTTAATGAAGATGTCATTTTTTGGTCATTTTCTCTAAA